CTTACCACTTCTTATGCTTCCTTGATATGACCCATCCCGTCACATCTTTCAAAGAGATATATATTCCTACCCGCCCGAACGAGTCGCTGCAAGACCCCTTCTGCGAGGACCAACACGTCTGCCAAGTCAACGTCTTCTTTGAGGAGCTGTTCGAGAATATGACCACCTCCGTCGTTCGCGGGGACCCCGTCGATTGCGAAGACTATGAAGATCGCGTGCGTGAAGTTGCCTTGATGAAGTCGCGGTACTACAACTTTGATGGCATGCCTGAAGGGCTGGAAGATCCCTACGACAAGGGCGTCCCCTTCCGCGGATGCGTCCTTATCGGCGTCGGAGCCAAGCCCGGAGACGTCGAGGAGCCAATCCTTCGGCCATGCCTGCCCTTACGCGACCGAAAATCGAGTTTTACAAGATTGAATTTTCCGTCTTACGCGTGCGACCGAGCTCTCGCTCTTGTGAGGGAAGCTGGAAGGTGTGCGCGAGGCGTGGCCGTGGAAGTGGATGTAGGGGCAGGGGGAAGAGGCGGAAGAGATTGACGGAAGAAAGAAATGTATTATGGCCATAAGAAAGGTGATGGCAACGCCACGGGCGTTTCCGAGGTTGCCGGGGGTGCTGAAAAAGAGGCCTTTGTGAGACTGCGAATAGGTTTGCGAGGAGAGAAAGTCGTCGGGAGACCGGAGAGAGGAAAGGTGTCGGTTGAGAGATGTGCCGGGGAATAAGAGCGCATGTTGGGTGAAAAGCTCACCGAGCATGGCAAGGGGCGTACATGTATGTCTTGCGAGGGGAACAGCGCAAGACCTCGGCCTCGTACAGCTTCACAGCGCCTGCGGCATCCTTTTGTACTCCATCCCGTCCATCCCTCGCTAGGTTGCCTAGCCTGAACAGGGTGATGCCGTCGTTGGCATGCTAACGACTGGCGAGGCTGCTCTGCTCGTAGGCCGCCTTCTCGTCCTGTTTCATGCTCTCCGGGGCTTCTATTGGTAAACTGATGATAGGTACGAGCTACCCTTGAAAGGTGAATGGTAGTTTTTGAGGGGGGGCACGATCACAGCGGCGCAATGGTCAACCTCGGCAAAATGCTAACGGAAGGCCCAAAGGGGGTTAAGGCAAAATCCAGCTAACGCTGCCGAGTTGTTCGAGAACGCCATCGAGAAGGCTCATGATTGCGACGCTATGTTCAACCTAACGATCTTAGTAAGAGATGGATGAGACGGTGTTATGCGGGACGCACCGCGGGCTGTGAAACTGTTTGAGGATGCGATTGAGGAAGACGACGATGTTGTTGCCATGGTGCTTCTCGCCAATCTGCTGGTAGATGGTGCGGAGGGAGTCGAGGCGAATGCAGTTCGCGCTACGGAATTATACTTGCCTGCGATTGAGAAGAGTGATGATACGCAGGCCATGGTGATGTCACCACTTACTGTTGAGGTCATAAGTTGAACCCAAGTCTTGGCGCCAACCCGCCCGAAAGGTTTATACTGTACAGTGACACCCCAATACTTTAATATATTCAATATTTTTCAGGAATTGCAATAGAAACCTTTCTTTTTGTTTCCTTTTTCTTTCCGCGGAAACGTCTACCCTTGGGTAGAACTCGCGATGCGTGCATCGCAAAGCATTTTAGAGAGGGCGGTGGCGACCACCACGGTCTATATGATTACACGTGTACATATCTGAAAAGGCGTGACTTCGTCTCAAAAGGCGAACTACAATCCATACCGCTTAATAGTGCGGTACGGTGTCACGCGGTGGCATACTGCACTACTGGCTTATTGCACTACTCAAGAGGGGATCATGCAAATCACTTTTACAACGTGGCTTTACTTCAAAAATCCGTTACAATTGATCGTCGAACTTTTCTCTTTGGGCGTCATACGCTTGCAGCAATGGACGCTTTGGTTTTTGAGACGCATACACGTGTCGAAAGTCGTGACAGGCAGTTTTGAACTGCACTATTAACAGTTTGCACTACTCACAACTGCACTATTTTGGAGGTACTCTCTGTGTATTGACTTGCGAACTATTTACGAGCCCCCCCTGTACTTCTGATACACGGGGGTGCCCCTATGAATGGAACAGTTTCAGAAATATAAATGAAAAATAGGCTATCTTTATGCAATGCTCAGAATTTCGACGTTGCTGGAAAGCTAACAACTGCTTTTTTGGTGTGCCGGGCCCCAAAAAAGGAAAAGCCGCCGTTTGGAAGCAGTGAACAAAGCGCTTCCCAAGGCCAAAACACAAATATCTGCTCAACAGCACCTAATACTGGTACCATTGACAATCATACCATATAATTTTTGAAAGCTTTTTTGAAACATGTCCAACGGTCAAATTGCTCATCGTCCTACGAAGGGCTTCGACTCGAACTGATCACAAGACAACTCATTCCATGGCGCTGTGACTATCTGCTCATCGGTCAGTGATTCAGTGCCATTTGACAGGGCCTTGTTCACGATTGCCCGCTGCCTCGCTAGCTTGCGACGCAACTGTAGACTCCGAGGCATGTTCATCGGCGCATTATAAGCTGCAGCACGATAAAACATCATTCGATGTTCGTACGCCTCCCTGTCTCTTCTACGCGCTATGGACTCTACGGCAAACTTTGCCTCTCTGGCATCCTCCTTGCGTCGTGCACACAACGCTTTCCTTCTCTCGTCTGCTTCCTTTGCAGCCACCAATTCCAGAGGTGGTGCACTAGTCAGCACACATCCTGCTGCCGTATCAACAAAACCTCTCTTCAAAACTACAGGTTGTACGCCCGCATTTTGGCGGAAGGCTTCGCGCTTTTCATTTAGCGTGCACTTCATTTCCTCCACAGATGCAATGTGAGATGGAAACTTACTGGACAGTGGTCGAGGTATTCCAATAATTTTTGAGGGATCGAATGGACACACGCCGGACTTTTCAAAACTACCCTTGATAATACGAGGTATGAAAGTTTCCTGATATGCCTCTCGCATTACGTTACAGATGTCGAAGACATCCAAAGCATTATCTCTGGTAGCAAATGACACGTTTCGAAGAACCTAATTGACGCGTTGCTTGAAGGGCCCGAAAGTCCCCACATCTAGCGGCTGCGTGGCACCACTAGTGTGTGCGGGAATGGCGTAGGCAATTATTCCCCCACGGTCAAGAATCGAAAGTGCTTCGAAACTCATGTGGCTTCTGTATGCGTCATAAAGAAGCAGCAGCTTCCTACTCCCTGCCGTTAAGTCCTTCACTTCCTCCACAAACGAAGAAGCCCATGTTATGAAAATGCTTTTGTCGATTCCAGCAGCTCCATCCCTCGTCGCAATCATGCTGCCTCTCGGGAGGCAGTCAGCAACAGTTTTTGTTTGTTCTATTCCGCCTCGCTGAATGGTGCGATAGGGAACTGAGTTGCCCTTGAAAACAAACACAGGATTTGTAGCGTCACCTGATGCAAAAACTACCGGCATCATCGTGATGCGATGATTGTATGAAAAATTAACCAGCCTCTGCTCAGTTTGGGAATTACGTAGACTGTAATGTTGATGCTTGGAAGAACCAAGTTTCTCCTTGCCTGGCGAAATACCTGACTCATCCAGATTGGCAATTCTTGACGGATCTATACTGTTGGTCTTTATGACATCCTCCAAGGCGGCAAAGTACGAAGTCAAATTCTCAGCATTAGTGCACAGAAACCGCTTCCCTTCCTGCGGACTACTCTTGCCAAATCTTATGCGACGTTTGTGTCTTGCCTCAAATGATTGAGCAAACTTGCGACACGGACGCAAGTTCTTGAATGGCAACTTTCTCTGCCTGTGCTCTGGCATTCTACAACCCATTAATTTCACAGCATCATAAAGGTCCATCCTGGTAAGCGCGTAGACTTGACTGGAGAACTGTGTTAGCAGAGAAATAAGGCTGTTCTCTTCGCTCGCGGTTAGGGCAGGCTTCCGTCCTCGCGACTTCACATGAATGCACTGCGTCCGTCTTTTGAATTGTCGGCTGAATGTCTTGAGGGCTACGCGGCCAAACGCCGCACCCTTGCGCAAAGAGAGACCTTTGTCTACAGCGATAAAGGCCTGCTGTAGTCTGCGGCCATGTTTTGTCAACTTCGTCATAGTAGTTGAGCACCCAGGAGCCAGTCTTGTGACTGGATTGCCGGGGCTTGGGAAAAGGCAGCGATGGGATATGAGGTATTGAGTCTGTAGGAAATAGGCGGGCAATTTGTTTTGCGCGCCATGTGGCAATGGTTTGGATTTTTTCTACGATTCCATCTCCATACAGGAATCAAGCTCCGATAAAAGCACCTCTGGCATCATAAAGAACGTGACGGCTATAGTTTCGGCGTCACAGCCATGCAAAGGGGCGAAATTCATGGAAAATGTGCACTTATGGACCAGAAAGCTTTAATGATGTTTAAATTTTGCCTATATTCCTCTGTTCCGCAAATGGGTGCACTGTACCATTTTATGTGGCACCCCCTCGTAAGAGCATCTCCACCGCATAGGCAAATTGTTTCTATATTTGGACACTTGTCAGGCTCCCACATGGGCATTCGTTTTGCGCATTCCGTTTGCGAAAGTACCACAAATCGCCGTTGCGCAAATCGCGTCGCGGTCTCCACCGCGCACTGCGTCGCACCCGCCCCCGATCCGCGCCCAGACTTCCCGCGCCCCGACTTCTGGGCCGCCCCCCACCCCGACCAGCAGGACACAAAGCCGAGGTCCAGTTCGTCGACGCTGACCTCTTCCACCCAGAATTGTTCTCGCCGCCCGAAGCGTACCCGGCCGCGTCTGTCCTCCACACGAACCCCCTGCCGACCTCGCCCTCCAGGCCCCCCGACCGCCCCGCCGCCGCACAGCCCGCCCCCGCTGCTGTCGCTCCGACCACGCTCCCGCCGCTGCCCGCAGACCCTGTGCCCACCGCTCCAATGGCCGCGCCCGCCGCCAACCGCGCTATCCCCACCGACGCATCCGCTGCCGCCGCGCCCGCCGCGCCCTTGCATCGCGCAACTCGGCCCTTTGCTATTTGTCATGCAGGATCTCGACGCGCTAGGGCCGCTCGATCAACTCGCGGGCAGTGATCCAGCGCATGGCAATAGCATGGGTGAGCATCTTGCCGACAGAGACGACGACGAGCTGTCCTTCCTTATCCTCGACGAGGAGATGGACAAGGAGTGTGGCTACGGATATGACGACATGCTGCACGGTGGCTCTACTACGGGGAGGTCCGGTAACAAAGCACGCGATTTCGATGCTGCCGTAACGCGAATGAGGAAGTTGTACTTCGGGTACGCGGGGAGGCCTCCCGTGTACAACGAGATTGATTTTGCGCGGCGGTTTGGCATTCCGAGCGTCGTTTTCAACCGGGTATACTCAGAGCTTGAGAATCGCGCGAATTTTATCCGCAAGGTCGATGCGTTGGGCAGATGCGGAGTCCACCCACTGCAGCGGATTATTGGAGCATTACGCATCCTTCGGTACGGTATTGCATACGATGCAGTTGACGAACTCGTTGGTGTGTCAGAATCGACAATGCAGAAGACTGTCACGGACTTCTGCACAGCTATTGTCGAAGTCTTTGGCGCAGAATATCTGCGTGAACCTACGGAGGACGACCTGAAAAGAATCCTTGCTGTGAATGAGTCACGGGGGTTTCCGGGATGCCTCGGCAGCATTGACTGCCAACATTGGCCGTGGAAAAACTGCCCAGTAGCATGGGCTGGGCAGTTCAAGGGAAAGAAGAAGAAGCCGACGGTAGTCATAGAGGCGATTTGCGACGGCGAGCTGCGCTTATGGCATACATCTGTTGGCCATCCAGGATCCATGAACAATCTCAACGTTGCCGACAAATCACAAACGATGCATAGAATCCTCTCTGGGGAGTTTCCACCGCGAATTCCGTACACTATTAATGGAAAGGTGCGAGACGTGCCATACTACCTAGCGGATGGCATATATCCGTCATGGGCTCTTTTCGTGAAGAGTTCCAAAAGTGCAGCGGATCGTCAGGTGACAGCATTTTCAAGGCAGCAAGGGGCTGTCCGAAAGGATGTTGAGCGTGCGTTCGGTGTGCTTATGTCCAATTGGCACGTACTCGAACGACCCTGCAGAATGTGGTACAAGGAGAGGGCAATGATAATGTTGCCGGCTTGCATTCTTTTACATAATATGAACCGAGAAGCGCGTCGTGATGGATACGACGTACCGTTATATGAACGTGCCGTGTCCGGAGGAGATCTGCACAAGGCTGTTCAATTTGCTCCTAACAAACAGGTGTACTTCCAGTGGGAAACGAGCTCGACAGCAGCTCCTGGTACTTGGGCAGCGCTTGCGTCTCAGCGCCAAATGGAGTCAGAAGACGGTATTAAGTGTGACGAGCTTAGATACGATCTCATTCAACACATTTGGCTGTGGCGGAAAGCAAAACTTGCTGTGAAATCGCTCGAATAAACTAAATGCTCTTGGTTATAGCTTCCAACCTATTGTTGCTGCCACCACACGCGCGCTCACGTCGCGCACGCTGATCAACTGCGCATACAGAAAGGAGACCACGTCTGCGTGCACGACGACGTGCGTGCCGATGCCCTCCTCCACCATAATGTCGCCGATCTTGCCGTGCGACACGCCGGCGTAAAGCACGGCGCCCATGACGTAGCAGTGGGCGACCTGCATACGCGCGCGGGAAGATGGCACGCACGAGAGAGACAAGAGCACGCAGAGGGAGCAAGGCAGACGTGAGCAGGCGGGCAAGGGCCTGGGGCGCCCGGCGCAGGTGGGCGAAGTGGTGCAACGGTACCTTTCCCACTTTCAAAGTCGCCGGCGACGGAGAGGAGAGCAAACTGTGGGGCGGCGAGGTGAAGCAGCTGGATGGTGTCCTCTGCGACGTCCTCGTGGGCGCAGAATATGGCGGTGCGCTGGGCGTCCGGGTAGCCACCTCACGCTTGGGCAGATAGGCGCGGCAGCTGGGCGATGGCGGCGACGACAGCGGCGCTCTCGGGCGGCGTGAGGAGGTCGGAGACGACGCAGCGCCAGTAGTACAGGGCGGACTTGGCCGAGGCGAGGACGTTCTGCGCGATGATGCCGTCGACGCCGCGGCCCGTGCATGCCGCCACCAGCTTCTCCATCAGCGGGTCCGGCGCCCGCATAGAGAGGCGCCGCGCCGACGCGCGCCGCGGGCAGCAAGGGAGATGACCGTTCGGCGGGCGCAGGAGACGGTCCCGGCAGAGGCGCGGTGGTGGGGCGAAGAGAAGCATAGTGATGGAGGGCGTGGTGACGAGCTTGGCGGTGGCGCCAGGTGCGGGATCAAGGAGGCAGCTGGAGGTGTCCAGCAAGGCATTGGGGTTGAAAAATGGAAACTTTTAGAAGCCTGGGCAGGAAGTATGATGAGCGCAAAGGTAACACGAGTGCTCCTCTCTCCTGTTCACATTGGGCATCTTCACCCCTCCCGGTGCGCCTGCACGCGGCAAGGTCCGCCTGTGCGCGCATGTAGAGGAGATCTTAGTCGAGCGCGGCGCAGCCGTCGGCTTGCGCACGAGGAAGAAGAAGAGGATCTTCGCCAAGCACGTGTTCTCCAACGCCTCCCACTGTGACACGGCGCAGCACCTGCTCTAGGAGAGCGCAGTTCCCGACGCGTACCGCGCGCAGGCCGTGGGGACGCCAGCCGAGGAGTCGAAATCCACCGCACGATTTAAAGTTTACGGACTTGGTCAACCTTCATTGCGCCCAAAAATTCTATCGCAATGCAACACGGTATTTGAACACTTGGGGCAAGTTTGTTACAGAAATGATTGCCAAATTGACATGCCATGTTAATGGAACGTGTATCATTCTATGAGCTGGCACAAAGCATATGTTATTGTAAAACTTACGTGCTACTACAATGGTAGCGAATGTGTAAACTCACACAGATTAGTTGTTCTGCTCAATATTGTTTGCGTTCTGCTCTTCAGGCGTGCTCGACGGGTTGCGCTGTGAGCTTAGACTCTCATTTGCATGAACTACACTCGACCTTCTCGCACGAGCATCAGCAGCCCACGTTTCAGTAGCATCGCGCGCGGCATCAGCAATCAGCTTGAGATTCTGGCGAATGCTGCGAAGAAATGAGTCTCTGACAACAGCGTCTTCAGCCGTCTCATTTCTTAGATGCATTCGAAAAGCCATAAGCGCATTCGACTCCTCCAATGCAGAACTTTTCTTCTTCATGCTGCTACCAATGGACTCTAACGTCACCTGCCTCTCTTTTTCTCGTAAGGCCCGCTCGACCCGATCTTTTGCAGCCTTCCTTCCGCTATGACCACCCCTGTCTGCACGCGAACGCGGGGTTGTCCTCGGTAGCCGTTCGTCGATGATATTGTCGTCGTTGTCCTGGTCTCCTTCTAGTACTTCTGCGACGACCGGCAGATTCTCAGCGTCATTGGGAGCCACTGGTACATGATTGCCCATATCTAAACGAAACTTTCGCGTCTTCTTCAATGTCTTGCAGGCCACAGAGTACTGCCACTTGGATGTATCGAAGGTCTTAAAGTTATACATGTCGTTTTCGTTGCTGTAGGGCGAGGTCGGTGTAGTGCACTGACCCACCTTTTCCTTTTCCCAGGGGACACCGGTCCCCGGCCAGCACGACTCCTTCTCCGGGACACACGTGTACCACGCGCCACGTGTAACCAGGCGTCAAGGCCCCTGTGTCCAGGTGTCACCCCCCCACGTGTAGTGGTTGTCATACCTCCCCAAGGGGAGTTTCTCCGGTCGTCGCCGCCGTCGTTTTAATTTAGTTTCTTTTAGTTTAATTAATTATAGCTCCGACGTCGGCTAGTATATAGCCGACGTCCGACCCTAAGTAAATCCGTACGAAGCTTTGGGTCTACAACTCGGGTTTCTGGAACGGAGTCGTAGCCTCGCGTCGGTCCCCGTCCCACGACGGTACCCTGCGAGCCATCTACGTCCCGATTCCCTCCTGTCTCTACCGCGCGCGTCGTCCCGCCACGCCCGGCTCTCCGCGCGACAGCTGTCCCTACCGCTCCGCCCCTCCTGGGCTCTGTTTTGCCTCTTTTTCCCTTACTTTACCTACTGCGCTTCGCGCCCGGCCCCGTACCGGTCCCTTACGGGTGGTCTCCCGATAACCCCCTACACGCGCCCCCGAACGCGCGCGCTCTGCCAGAGGGGGATCCCACCCCTTCCCCCTCAGTGCACGACATTTTGGTCTCCCGACCTAGAAGTCTACGGAGTGTCCCTTATCCCTTACCGTTTTTGGTCCTAGGTGTTCTATCCCTGTTTCAACAGGTTCCGACAAGCTCAAGGCTATGGTATCCGGGTCCGATTCGTCCCGTGAGACCCGTCCTCGAGACGTGCCTCCGCCAGTTGCGGCGTGGATCACTCGGAGTTGTCGCGAGACGCTCCGAGAAGCGGAAAGATTCACGCTCAATACTGTAGCGGAGAAGCTCGCAGCGCAACCGTCGGCGCTGCGGGAAAACCTCAAGACTTTTATTGAGGAAACTATCGCGGCCCAAGCCGAGGTACAAGCCGCGCGAGAGCGCAATCGCCTAACCGCCCTGGAAGGCGTGCTCACCAAGGCCTGGCAGGCGGACATAGCTGCCAGCGCCAAGGAGGCCGCCATCCTGCGTAAGCAAGAGGAGACCGCCACGGCGGAGGAAATCAAGGCCCTCCGTCGAGAAATTGCCATCTTGAAGACACAAACATCAGCCTCCGCTGCTGGAATCCCTTCGACTACAGTCGGAGTAGCGACTCTCCCTCCCGCTGAGGGGTTGCCCCCGTTGAATAAGAGCCTGCTCTTTTCCAACGTGACAACGCCGGCGCTGCAAGCCGCGGGGATACGGGTCCCCTCCATGGAGACCGCACCCCAATTCTCCGCCAATCTGCAGGCGTCGCGAACGGCGGCAGGAGCCTCCCGCGAGGGAGCCTCCGCCGGACCTATCCACCTTGAAGGTGATTTACCTTCCCAGAATTTACGGGGAGAGGACCCCGATCAAGGGGGAAGCTCAGACGACGAGGGGAGTGGACGACGAAAAAAGTCCAAACCCAGTCGGAAAGAGCGGAAGGCGAACCGTCGCAAATGACAAAAGGATGGATACCCTCCGGACGGGTACTCAAGCCTGTCCTCGTCATCGTCCTCTGACTCGGAGACCGATTCCGAGTCAGAGTCCCTTACGGCCCCAATGCCGACGTTTGGCCCCAAACAGAAAAAGGTTTCTGTCTGGAAGCCGACGAACCGCCGGTTCAGAGGTGTGTGCAACTACCGAGCCTACCGCCTCGTGGATACCGACCCCACCCTGGACGACCGGGTCTACGCTACCACCCGTAAGAGTGTGCAGTACCTCCTCGTGGTCATGGGGGAGTACAAATTCAGCGGGGTAGATCCTATCAGGGTCATCAGCTTCCTGGCTTGCCGCAAGGAAAATTTTGACAACGCCAATATGACCGAGGCGATGGCCCTGATGGCCCTACCCCATCTGCTGGCTCCGCCAGCGAAGGAAGCGTATGAGTCCCAGCGGGGACTGTACGGCAAATCTCAGGGGATCGCGAGCTGGGCCGCCGCCGTCAATTGGCTGTTGCGCACATATGCGACGAACCTTGAGATCGAGCGGGCCCTCACGGCATTGAGGGAGCTACGCCAGAAGACAGGCGAACTGGAAACCGAGTACGCTACTCGAATGTCCACCGCCCTAGGGAGGTGCGGGGACGTGCACTCGGCATACGAGAGGACGACCCTCTTCATCGAGGGGCTCACACCCGCGATCAAGCCGCTGGTGTTACAAGCTCGCGAGGATCGACTGCGATCCTCATTCGAGGATACCATCGCCCATGCGCGCTCGCACGGCGATGCTTTCCGGGCCCAGCACGGGGCGGGGCGCCGCGTGGAATTCGGGAAGCCTCGCCCGGTTAAACAGGTTCTCGCTGCCCTGGATGGCGCCTCGTCGTCGTCGACCGGCCCCTCTCCCAGTTTTCACACGGCCCGGGGAGCCGAGAACTACTTCGCTACCGATGGTGACCTCGCCAGGGAGGCTTCTTCCCTCCCGACGGAAGAATCCTGCTTCAACGACGGAGACTCGCTGTTTTACGGCGACCGGCGCAAGCCGTATCAACCCGCTCGAGAGCCCGCCGAGGGCTTTTGCGGACTTCCACCGGGGAAAACGTCCCGTAATTACCAAAAGGATCTGCGGGGACCTCCGTCCCCGCAGATCATCTGCTTCACCTGTTATCGGGTCGGGGACCACATTTCCCCCGACTGCGACATAAAGGTGAAGGATGTATCCCTCGTACCCCATCAGTACGAGAAGTTGACCGCGGCCCAAAAGAGCCGAGTGCCTCCGGAGGCGTGCCTCCGAGCCGTCGCCCTTCTCAGTTACGAGGCGAACCGGGTAATGAACCCCGACGCCGTCGCCGGCCCGCCGCCGCGTGCGGGTGCCGGGACGAGGACCGTACCGCCCCCCGGG